GGAGGCGGAGGAGGAGAAGGCAGGGACGGGACGGAGGCGGAGGAGATGGAAGACGGACAAACGAAAAGAGACAGGCGAGAAAGAGACGCAGGAGAGAACGCGGGGACCGACGAACCCGTCGGCGCGGCGCCAGTCGTCGAGTCGCCATGTCACCGCGAGCAACTTGCTTCCGTCTCGCGGGGGCTGCTGCGCTGCGTCGTCGGGTACGCGCCGGGTCGTGAAGGGTTCGCCACGGGTTCGCGGCGGCGGCGAAGCGGCCAGTAGGGGTTGCGGACCCAAGACGCGAGGGAGTGCGGTCAGTGCCGTCGAGTTCCGCGAGCAAGCGGTGTTTTGCGCGCCCGGAAACCGGCCAACGCGCGCTTGTAATTTCCAGTGTCGCACGCTCGAATATCTCGAAGAATATATTAACGTCGGAAAACTGATTGCGGTTTAATTCTCGGACGAATATATGTCATAATTGTTACATGATAGCAGCGCACAATAGAATTAATAGACAACAATATTCTCGCCTGGTCTCCGTTTCAAGTACATTCTATTTTAATTCCGCAATTAAAATTGCACTTTTCACAGCTGAACGCAAAGTTTAAGCGGTGTACTGCTTGCCACAATCAATGGTAATACCTCAACGGAAATTGCGAGATAATAAAAGGAAAAAAGCACCGAGGCGATATCGCGCTCGCAAAGTAGAATATTGATAAGACGCGCGATCTAGTTTCAATCGAATCGTTTCACTAAAATTGACGTTATAATGCCGCAAATTTAATTTGATCTTGAAACTTCGCTAAGAAGAATTTAAAACGACTTTTTTTTTTTTAGAAGAAAGTAAGAATAAAAAATTACTCGTTTGAGAAGTGTTTTAGGTGACATGAAATTATGGTTTTATGTTACGCGAGTCTAGCACACTAGAGAATGCAATATATTGTCTTGGGGAAAGTTAAATTGCAATTAAGATAAATGTTTTGAGAAGCAAAGTCTTCAAGTTTAGGGGATGAAGAAGAAAAGTTAAGCTCATAGAAAGTTGATGTTAGTGAAAAGTACTGAGCCTTAAATAGAGAGGTTGTTTCCGAAGAAACTTCTCTGACCTATTTGAAGATTCGTGAGACGGTCTTCATTCGATTCTTCCACATTGTAAAGCAGAAATAAATTGATCTCATAATCAGTCGAAAATACAACACAACGATCGCATTTTCTCGTATCACATGGAACTTGACGACAAAAAGTTCGCACAATTATGTGAGAAAAAAGATTGAGTTCATAAAAGTTTAATATTATTCTTTTTCTGCGATTTATATGAAATAAAAGATTCAAGTCTTGATGTTTAATCTTAATGATTTTGATCATTAGATGCAGATCTGATTGTTAATTGCTGTATTGCTTACTACAATCAAGAAATCAGACAAATATAATAGAAAATAAATATAGAATTAATATAACACAAGACAATCTTTCTATAAATATAATCAAATTGTGCAATCTGATTGAACAATTAAGACTCTCAATTTTTTGCTCAATAACACGTGCAGATTTGCAGAAAAAAAATCAAGATTCAATGTAAGAATAGATGTATATCGACATCTGTAACAATTCCCACGGCAAATATTCCACGATACAGCGCTTGTTCGTAGAATTCACAGAATGTAGTTACGATGAGCTAACTTCAATATATATATATATATATATACATATGTGTGTGTGTACACAATATTTCACACATTTGGTTATCGAATCCACCCGACAATATCCGTTGTCCTTCGGTCTGGATTTCGCAAGCGTTATCGAGATCGCGGGAGCGCGAAAAATCAACGACATCAATAACCATTTTTCCGTCCGTATCTACTGACGCTCCAAATCATCCGAATACAAATGCCGAATGCCGTTTGCTATCCGCCCGCTTTGACGATAGAACGAAAGACTGACAAAGTGAGATCGATGACGCAGTTTGCCAAAGGTAGGACATAAGACCTGTGAATACGTAGGGCGATATTTTTGACGCATCACTTATCGCGAGGGCATCTAGTATCTCGGGTATTGCTTCGGCAAGGTAAAAGCTCCTCCCGGTGGTATCGATGTCTTCGACCGTTCGATAAAGTAACTACGAGATGAACGACCGCATCGAATCGTCCATCCGTGAACTCAATTCGGTTATTCATTCATCAGCTCTATTCTTAGCGCAGGCATTTCGCTCCATTACATTGCTTTTAATGCAAGTATTTGATCTTGTTATATCATTTTGTGTTATTCAGCAGCTGCTTGAGAAAATACTGTTCTTACTGACATTCTCCGTCCATTCTGTTATCCGACTCTTAATTAGCATGATAATTAAATTTGGAGTTATCCAATTTATCTTTTGCCATTTGAATTTCAAATAAAAGTTACGTGATATACGTCTTCTGCTGTGTTTTGAATAGAGAATCTTCAAGTCTGGAGAGTAGGTCATAAAAATATCATTGTCTCGGGGATTAATATTCTTGATGCGAGCCTCGCGTACATATTTGATTCTCGGTTCGAGTAATATACGTAAGATATTTTCTATCGACGTCTATCTCTTGCAATAAAAATGCGTCCTTGTATATTTTATCGGTTTTTTTCACTAATGTTATATTCAAGAATTGTTTTCCAATAAAAAAGAACTTAAGAAATAAGCTGATAAAATCGAAGTTTGCGCCGTAATATACTAAAATTTTTAATTCAATATGATAAGCATAGATAATAAACATTACGTTTGATGTATATTCAGGAAGTGGTGAACTAATATTAACAAAACTGTTCTATTCTAAATAATAAAAAAAAATAAAGAACAAATATCTATGGAAGCTCATTTCGTTGATAACAAAGTGACAAAATTTTGCAAAAACATTTCTCTGTCATTTGTCAGTGCGGTCAATAGAATTCTTTACTCGACTTGTTATTAGAGAGATATGCGATGCACGTGCTGACAATTATGAAACATAATTATTTCCAACGGCATAAATATCACATTAACCGCAAGAATTGCGACACATATGTCACTTAACCCAAGACAATAAGTGCAAATGCATTCAGCAGCGTTATCGCGTAACGTTTGAAGGAAGCGGACGAGCGAGAACGAAGCACGTTACTTTTTGCGTTGTATTCGCGTCCGCTCCACTATATATATATATATATATCGGTGATTCTCTGTTCAATGTCGCTTGACACCAAGCTTTGGCGATCGACCCAGGTCAAGAGAGAATTCAAATTACCATACGGCGCACACAAGAGGCGTTCTCTATAATTGGTATTCCCCGGCTACTGTGCCGCTGGGTAGAATCAACTGCGTCAACTGCGGCGCGTATAACGGGATCCTAAGACAACAATGAGCCACATCGCGAATCCCGAGATTCGAATAATCCCACGACACCTGTAGTTTCCTCTGGCCTGAACGTCGAGCGGCGACTTGCACGCACGCATTCGGGGAAGGGACTTACGCAAATCACGCGGCGATGCGGGCGCTAATGTTCGACATTACAATAATGACGACGCTGTCGAGAAAGGAGCGCGGCACCGCGGTCGGCGCCTAGTGGTGCGCGTTTTATGCAACAATAAAGCCACGTTGCGCGCCGCAGCCGCCATACTGTTCAGATCGCGTGCAACGCGCAGAGACATCGGCACGCGTGCAGTTCCGAGGAGTTCGCGAGAATGTTATGCCTGGACATCAAACTCATGTCGCGATTGCGGGGCGTCTCATCCGGAACCGCGTTGTCGGCGTCGCCGACCCACCAGGCGACGGCCGCGTCCTCGACGGGCCCCGCGGAGAAGAATAAGTCGCGCAAGGCGAGGCGCGAGAGCGGCGAGGTCGCCAACGCGGTCGCCAGCGACGGCGAGGAGGACTTGTTGCGACCGGACTCGAGCGACCAGGAGATGATTCGCCGGAACAGATCCAGATCGGTGTGCGTGGCGGCGATTCTGCCGTCCTCACAGCTCCGACAGTTGCACCGACGCGCCAGTCATTATGTGTACGTTGCCTCCGTCACGCGGGTTACGGAGCCAATTCGCGGGTCAAGCAGCGAGTTGCTCGTATTTGCTTATTTTTATTCAAATTATTTTCCATGAAAAGGACGAGCTTTAAACTGCCACTTGTCTTTTTATTCGCCTCGTGCATTCGTGCATCTATTTTTTTATTGAGAAATATGTGCGAGTATACTTTGCTACTTGACTCACTTGTGATATTTACTTGATATTTTCTCTATTTGCCTCTCGCACAAAACCCGATGCAGCCTTGCCGAATGAATTGACAGCGAGGAAAAGCTGCGCAAAATCGCAGCCGATGCGAATCCCGATTCTCGAACTATTTCTCTTTTGTGTCTTTCGCGTAACGGCCTCTCCCGGTTACCCGGCCAATTCGACCTCGACGTAGCTTCTCGTTAACCCAGATATTCATGTCGTGAAAAATGAGAAACGCGAAGGGGGTCGGAGGGTGCTGTCGCGTTACGCTACGTTCACGTTACGAGGGAGACGCGATCCACTCGCCGAGGGATGATCATATTTGACCGGAGTACATTTAGTCGGCTATCTTGTCGATAGCATTTTATCACTTAATAAATCCCTTTCGCGCAAAGGAAAATATCGAAAGTCAGGCAGCGATCCCACAACTGGTCACACTTAATTTTAATGATAGGTTATTCGTCAAGTGAAATAAAAGATTTTTCTTACAAAAAGATTTCGAGTCAAAGCATCGCTCATTGCAATTTTGTAACATTTGATATTAAATATGTTGGAAATTAAATTTCTAAGAAAGAAATCTTGATTTTACACTAAACGAGGAAAAATTTTGTTTCGTCATCCTAGAAGCCCTTTACTTTCGAATTTTGCGACTCAATAGTTGTTTGCGCACCGATATTTTAATTAAAGAAAATGGACGTCGATGTAAAAGAACTTGTCGTTAAAATTGAAGACAAGGTTGCATCACTTGAATCGGTCGCAGAGTGATTTTCAAGTCCGACATTGTAATACTGTTTTGCTTTCAAATAGCATAGCGAAGGCGCGGTGAGGCCGATAAAAAAATGTACGTGCTCTCGGTTAAGAATGCCGTTCACCGTGGCGGACGAGGCGTGCCGGCTATGCTAGCGCGAACGATTCCATAAGAATGCATATACATGCAGAAAAAAAAGGTCATAAGACGTTTATGCAAAACGCGAGATCGCTCGAATTATTAGCGTAAAAACGCGTGGAAAATCAAACGCGGATTACATTTCCGGCAAATATAAATTGGTCATTTTCGACACCTCGTAAAAAATCTCCGAGATAGAATTATATCTCCGTGCAAGCTCTTACGCTACATCTAAACGGTGAAAAATCGTGTTTCAGATCCACCACGGATGCGATAGCGAGGCGAGGAGTCCTATCGAGGCGGTGCTACGGCAGCGTGGAAATGGTAAGGAAACGATGAAAAAGCGGACGCGTCTTAGGTAAGAGCCTCGTTCTACTCGCCGGAAGGTTTTTACCTATATGCATAATACTTATGCTAATCGATGTGATAAAGCGAGCGAGTGCCTTGCGATAATCCCCGCGACACCTCGCGTTAAGCCGATTATGTTGTTTCCCTTTATCTCGCTGTTTATCTTTATTGATTTGCTTATCGTACACTCGCTGAAGCTGCGCGGACTTTGTGCTTTACTCATGTCAACGTACGATGATACAATATACTCGATCGATATTCATAACAAAGGAAATAGGAAAGAAATCCTTAAATATTATTAATTTTGCAACAAATTTGCGTCTAAAGTTTGAATGTCGTTAATGAATTTGAGCGAATCGTGCTATTTCGCGCTGATGATAAATTACTCCGTAAAAATGTATTTTCTCTCCTTTCCGAGAGAAAATAATTTCGTAACTATTTCAAATCAAAATACTTTTAACTTCTTCTTTATACTTTAATATAATTTATTCATTTGAAAACATACGGCTCATGACTTTGCAATCGTTACGTTTTTACTGTATTTCCAATGGGAAGCTTTTACGCTTCTCACAGATTTGTTTGTGCGAATAGTTCAAATAAAATTCGATTCAACTCAATTTCGTAAAAGTAAATATCCAATTCTTGCGTTGAAAAAATTACTTTGAAAAAGATTTGTGGATTCGGCTAGGTGTTCCCTATCGTTGTTTCCAATCGCGTGCGTTTCGAGGCCTCGAAATTACAGCTCGCAAACTCGAAACTGGAGCATATTGACTCGCACCGCATTCGCGTATTTACTAATCACGACGCTCGAAATGCACTTCCAGCTGCCACAGATCGAGCAGGATGGAGCCGACAATGGAAGAAGATTTCGAGTGGAGAATGGAGATTCTCCGGGGGAAAAAGAGGAGGTAAGAAAGAGTTGTCTAATGATCAAACGATCAAGTTTTTTTCGATTTCTTTCTTTCATCTCTCGAGAACCGTCCTATTTCGCGGTGAGCGTAATTGCTTGCTCTTCCATCCCATTTCGTCTTTCGCCCTATCCCATTTTTTTGCCGCGAATGTCGTTTGTAACGATTCCAACGATTTTTACGTCAACAGATGTTCGGCTCGCCGAGTACGCCGATACTGGAAAACCCGGAGTACCAAACGCGTTGGTACTTCAAGTACTTCCTGGGCAAACGTAAGTTGAGCGTCGAGAATATTTGCAATATAGTACGTAACGCAACAATCGTTAACAAATGTCGTTGAATTGAATTATTTGGAATGCGCCTGTCCATCACTGCGATCTCTCAAATTCCTTTTTCTGTGCAATTGTGCAATATTACGAAAATATAATGGAGAATTTTATTAGACCTCTATTTAATGCAAATCGATTTATGTTCTTTACTTTCTCGGCCGTGTTAATCGCCGTTGCGTTTAACGAAAATTTATGCAAAGTACCGCCTTTTTCTATATTTCTCTCGTAGTTAGCATATAGATGCGCGTCACTTTGCCACAAAACTTACTCACGATAGACGATTTAATTGTAGTAGTGAAAAATACTAAATTAGAGCAATGTGTGCATACTCGGTTCTAACTTTTTTTCAGTATTTCTTTTAGTAAAACTAATATATAGATGCACAAGCTTTGCTCACTACAAAAATAATTTACGACAGACGATCTAATTACGACGGCTAAAAATAGCAAATCAGAGCAGCGTGCGAATACTGATTACTTCTATCTGTGCACAGTGCATCAGAATTATATCGCCTCCGATCAAGAGAGAAATCCTCTCTTTCTCTCGGTCGTCACGAGCGAGGTTGGTGATCAATGCGTGCCGCACTACCGAGTTATTTTATGGAGGCGAACCGTGAGTAGACAGCTTATTATTCATTGAGGGCAGATCCCTGGTATCCTGGGACAAATTTCCGGAAATTATTTATGTTCTTAACTCACGCGGCGGTACGAAAATTGCGAAAAGCCCTGTCGCATAAAGCTCGGCCTCGATTTTTCGCAAAAATAGTTTATTGTAATTTGTTCCAAGATACAATTCTGCCAGAATAAATTAATAATCGTATATTGTAATAATCTAATCTGCTCGGTATACGCGATATTCAAATGCAAAAATATTAGACTTTATAATCAGCCGTTTGAAAAAACTTGCCGTATCGAACTCGTGTATCTTCCAGAATAAAATGATTAATTAATACATGAATGCAGAATCGATCGTAATGAGCCGATAAAATGTTTTACGTAGGGCGCGCAAAAAATATCGCTGCCGTACTCTGCAAACAAGACTATGACTATCAGGCAAATTCTCAGGTAATTATCTTCTTATTTGCGCGAGTGTAAAAGTATGTAATTAACTGCGAACGGGACTGCGAATAACTGTGTATGTCATCTGCTGTTGACCTTTCAGCAACTTTTTCGGTTTGGAGAAACTTGACAAAGCGCCGCGAGAAGTTTTCACGCCGGAACTGCAAAAGGTACTTTTACAAGCGTCTCACTTGAATTTCACGCTCGGGGAATTGACGTCATAAAGAAATGGACTAATTCGGTGTGAATCCCCGCAGGATCTGTTACTGCTGGAGGAACAAGAAGGCTCGGTCAACTTCAAGTTTGGCGTTATCTACGCGAGAGAAGGTCAGACCACCGACGACGAGATGTTGTCTAACGGTAAGGCCGTCACAAGCATCGGCGAGAACAAAAGACAATCGGGTGGGATGGGAAATTAAGTGATAATAGATAGCGCTATCGATCCCTAAGGAACGTTTCTCATTGCTCACAGAAAGTGGTAGCCCGGGCTTTGAGAGGTTCCTGGAGATCCTGGGTGAGAGGATACGGCTCAAAGGCTGGGACAAATACAGGGGTGGCTTGGACGTGAAAGGTACGTTGATAATATGGATATTGGCAGCGCAAACTCGACATCTGCAATCAGAAGAGACCTGCAATCGTCTCTTCTGATAGCCACATTGACAGAATTCCGAAATTCCCTACTTCTTTCCGAGTCTCCTGACAAACTGCATTTTTGACCAAAAGTATGCGCAAAAAAAAATGAAAGGAAATAACTTTCCTGATTTTTGTAAATGTAAATATAGCGATAATTCGATAATATTAAAGTGTCGATAAATATTTCTACAAGTGCCGATTAAACGAGTTTTCTCTCCTATTTTTCGTGTGATTTTACGATATAAAATTTTATATTCGTAGTAGTCATCTTTCATTTCTGCAATTCTACTCGTGCGGTTTGTCGTCTTTCAGGAGATATGACGGGCAAGGAAAGTTTCTACACGGTTTATGCAGGTCACGAAGTTATGTATCACGTTAGCACGGTGTTGCCGTATTCGAAAGACAATCCGCAGCAACTGGAGAGAAAGAGACACATTGGTAACGATATTGTTAACATCATATACACGGACGATCCATCAGCCGTAGACACATTCAATCCGAACTGCATAAGAAGCCAATTTACGCGTAAGTTCAGGAAACACGACTTGTGTTGACTTTATCGCTGAAATCAAGTATATCGGAGTCGAAAAATATCACGATAAGGTCATATAAAATCATGTACAATATATACCCTTGTTTTCACAAAGAGCACCCAAGTGACAGCTGACGCTGAAATACCATACAGTGCAGTGATCCTCAGTTTCCTTACATTTTTCTCGCTTTTTGTACGCCTACAGATTTTGTTTACGTGCTCGTAAAATTCGATCAATCAATATGTTACGTCACGTCGCTTGACCTATCTCTTTGTCACGTATATTCATGCTGTCAATAGCAGTTTCTAATTATAGCGCGAATACAATTTCAGAAATGGTCATTAAAAATATTCCTTCGCTAATTATTAATCGCGAATTGATTAAAAACCACGAGGGTGGATTTATAGAAAGAGAACCGAACATATATATATAGTTGTATATCGTACAAAATAAGGATCGCTAGTTGAATGTCAAATTACTCTTCGCTACTTATACAACAGACGTGTTTGCCGTGGTGACGACCGAGGCGGACGGTAAGGGATGGCGGGTCGCTATTTATTGCGACGAGAGTGTACCTCTATTCGGACCGAGTCTTCCTTGCCCGCCGGTTTTCGAGGACCCGTATAACCTTCGAGAATTTCTTCTCGTTAAATTGATCAATGGAGAGAAGGCTACCTTCGACACTCCAACATTTTCCAGAAAGAGGGAGAGAACGCTCGACGCCCTGTTGCGAGATATGTACCAGGAGCACTCACAGGAGAGCAAGAGCAACGTAAGTTACTTTACGAGAGCCGCCATTGTATTTTTTTCTTCACATCCCGCTAACTTTCACTTACGTTACTCGCAATAAGATGTAACAATTTCATAATATTGATACGTTAAGAAGCATTGAAAAATTAATATTAATATAAAATCCGGGATATTTAACATTTTTCTGGAAATACTTGAGAAAAAGCCGAATCGTATTACAGCTTAATGATTGATTTGGGATGATTTTGTTGCAGAGCATGCTAAACCGGCGGGCACTTTCGGACGTTGTCGAGGCGCCCGGACGACGGCGAGAAGAGACGCGCGCCGTCGAGATGGTGCGAGTGGGACAAGCTTTAAAGTTAGAGGCTATCATGCGTGGTCTCGCACCCACCTCTCTCGCCACCGTCGGCCCTCTGAAACCGAGACCCTGGGAACCGAGATGCATTTATCCCGACTTCCCCCACGAAGTCGTCTGCGGTGATGTGTGGCTGGAGAACAGACTGATTCTCGCCTCGGAAAACGGGACATTTCTCATCGAAGGTAATTTCAACTTTGACAAATCACACTTTTGCAAGAATATTAAATGATAATTAAACTTGTTAATAAGGTTCGGTGAAAAATATATTCTTGTACACATTGTTATCTATGTTTGAGCATTTATGTATATATCTATGGAACTGTAGTTTTAAAATGTTTTCCCTTGCTCTCATAATTTATATCTGCATAAAAAGTTTCTTCTTTATGTAATTTAAATTCTTTTTAATTTTATAATTTTACGATTCAATAGTCATAAATTGCATACATGACTAATGTAAAATTGTGAAAATATTTGTATTTGTAAAAATACAAATTGCAAACGAGAAAGTGATTGTCAAAGCATCTTTAGCAATTATATAGCAAGTATTGATCAATGATAAGACAACGGATGATATCAGTACTTTGTGCGATTGCGCAAATATAATGAATAAATTCACTCACTCATTTTATCCTAGCTAAGCACATCCTCAGGTGCATCTGAAAAAATTAATATATTTTGGTTATCATTAATTATATACTATAATAATTATATACATGTTATGTATGTAGATTATTACATATTATTTAATTATTTCCATTTTGATTATAAAACACATCTATATGCAATATATTGCATAAATAATTATTTAAAAATGTTAATGAATATTTGAATTAACATTTTAATAAATTAATATTTTCGTAAATATTTTAACATTTTATGGAATACAAATTGCAATTATTGCATGTGTTATTGTGATATGTTCTCGTAAATATATATGTGACAAATTAGAAATTAAATTGCGAGTTCTTTGTACAAATTTTTCAATCTGTTTCAACGCCAAAAGCTGTTTACGGAAATGATGTTACATATCAACAAATAAATATTTAGTTTCAAATTTAATTCCATTTGCCCCAATTTGCCTGATACTGTTTTCCAGATGGTCTCTCGCACAGATTGATTTTCGACGAGTCGGTGCAAATCAAGCAGCTAGACGTAGTCGAGCAGCACGGTATACTATTGTTTCGCGCCGGGGACAAGGGCAAGGAGAGCAGCGTGTACGTATTCCGACTTCGGGAATTCGAGAGCGACGCGTCCGCGCGATGCGCCGAGTTATTCAACGACCGCGAGAACGGCGATCGGGGGAAGGAGGATGAGGACGACGACGAGGACGCCGAGGACGACGACGGCGATCGCAACGACGACGACGACGAGGACGACGCTGACGAGTGCGACAATTTCACGCGCGCCACCGCCAGATTCCAGCCGGTCGGGCGTTCGCGCGCTCGCGTTCGCATCCGCGCGCCCGCTGTTCGCAGCCGGGCGCATATAAAGGAGAGGAAGCTGCGGCGTACGCGGGGATGCAGCTTGTACAGCATCACCAGGCCCGGAGGCTCGCATCTACGCATGGTAACGTACCGTCTCTCTCTCTCTCTCGCAAGCTCGCACTTTCGCGCCTCTTGGCACAATAACAGGTGAATAGAAGATTGGAGGATGAGTCAGAGGTCGGAAACACGGGTTCTCGGGGAAAAATGCAACGATTGCACGCGCGAGTGATCGCTTTCATTAAAGTAGAGTAAAGATAAAAGAAATGAGCACGAGTAAAATCTATCTCTAAGAGTAGCGAGCGAGTCTTTAACATAAAGGATTCATACTTCAATCTCATTTATCTGCAACCATTGCGCATTCCATATAAAACGGCGCTTGTAAAATTGCATCAGAGCGAAAGGTAGTTAATCAAGAATCTGTCAAAACTTGCCAGCGCGATTTATCAAGATTTTCCTTCGCGCAACGTTTAAAGGAACGTCTATCTTTCCATCTTCTATCTTCCCTTCTCCTTTCATCATTCGCGCGCGCCGTCTCCTTTTATTCTTGAATAATTATTATATTCACGTGAAATATGCAACGCACGATTGCGGTGCGCGAAACAGTGCGTAGTCGTCGGCCGCCGACTGACGGTCCTTCAGTGGAAGCACAACGCAGCCTGGACCATCTGGTGTTCGTCGGCCGACACCGACACCGTCGACGGTTTCCTGATGGTGAAGGAATTCACCGCGAGCGAGACACCGACGTTAGTGACGATGATTGAGAGCATCGATCCGGGGAACGAGTGGACACTATGCTGCGGCGCTCGTCACCACTTCGAGTTGATCTCCGCTTCCGGAACTTCGAGAATAGTTCACATGGACGCGATGCCGAAGCCGCACTTGGTGGCGGCGTTGGATCTTCGCGAAGACGAGGAGCCGGAACTGTTACTTTGTTACAACAGTAAGTCGCGTGCTATTTCAACTCGGAATTTAATCTCTTGAGTCTCTTAGACTCGACAATACACAATATATAATTCTTATTATTTATATTTATTCGTAAATATTTATTTCTTATGCAAGAAATATGTAGTTATTTATCTGTTTGTAGAAAAATACAGCGAAATGGAAGAATGAATATTTTTAATTAATCCTTTTTTAATGCTTTGTTTCAAATTAATCCGCAAATTATCAATATTGACAACATTTTTCCTCTTAGACACGTGTCACTTTCAAAAACTGGCAGAAGAGAACACTGCGCCGACCGAGTTCGACTTCAATTGGAATTCGATGCCGACAGCCGTAGGTGCGACGATTTGTAATTTTTTATAACTGCAAATAACATAGCCAGTTGTTATCAATATACTAATTTTTCCTTACTTGAAGAGCATTTCAATTGTATAAACAAATACGGTCTTTTTCTTGAGAGATGCATTTGTTTACGATAGCTTGTGCCTTTCCATACGTGATCGCCTTCACTACCGACACGATGGAGATTCGACTGATAATAAACGGCAACCTGGTTCACACAATCGCGATGCCCAATATCAGCTTGATCACCTCGAAGAGGGACATCTTTTTCGCAACAACGGCTCCGGAGTTCCTTCCAGGAAAATGCGAGCGTATCCGATTGGACTCGAAACCGCTCGATAAAGAGGAAATGCCTTGCAGCCCGCCGCCTACATCTTCGTCCTCTTCCCGATCTTTTCAAAGTACGTGACTTTCGTCTATTCTGGCCGCCTTTGAGACCGAAAATCCTCCATCGATTTCATCGCTACGTCGAATGTTTAACGAACGCATTGAAATCACCGTGAAAATCTTCTTTTCACAGACAGCCAGACGGATTGGAAGCCAATAAGGATCTACCGGATACCATTGCAAACGCTGTCGAGAAACACAGCGTCCAATTGCAGTCAAAGGCGGTGTCCGAGTCCGGCGGAGCCGGAAATCGTCTCCGCGCCACCGACCACCGACAGGACGTTCCTGAGCGTCGAGCCTCACCGCGCGTTCAGCAGATCCTGCAGCAGCAGTCCCACGCCCACACCGACCACGAATTTGCCGTCGCCATGTAGGAAATAAGCGCCGTAGTTGTTGGCGATCGCCAATCGATCACACCGACCGCGATCGTTGCAAGATCGATCGCGAGGAATAAACCGACCGCACGTACCTGATTCTCGTACACCGTACGAGAGAACATACGGAAATCTTTGTCATTGTTATGCTGTTAGTGCGTTGCGTTGCATGTGTACCTTGAATGTAAATGCGACCGCGCAAGTCATTACTCGGGTAGATTTTGACGGGGTCACATATTAATGCCTTAATTATGGGAGGCTGTGGCATAATTATCTCTCTTTGCTATTTGAGAAAAATCAATTGACAATGTCTTTTTTTTCAACATTTCCTTATTTCATTTGAATAATTATTTGTGGCGTGAAATTTTCTATTTTTTTTAATCTCGCGTAATTTTTATGCAAAAAGGGTGTATTTTAAGAAACAAGCGCAAATTTTGAAAGAAAATAATGGAAAAATATTTTTATAAAAAACCGCGACCTGCGACAATCCTCCTTTTAATTTTCTTAACTTCTTTTCAGGCTGGTAAAAAAATGTCTCTAGCTAAGATACCGATCTTTTTATCGAGCTAAACTGATTTTATTTCGCGTCATCCGTAATTAAGGACTTAATAGCGTCAGAGAATGACGATACTTTAGACACTTTTCGCTTCTGGATTTTTTAAGTGATATTGTATATTATAGTTCCTCATTGTTTCAAAAGCTTAGATAGTAGAATTCAGGCTAATGACCATAAGTCAGTGCCGAAAATGTTTCTGACGCATGATTCGACACTATGGATAAAACTTATTACGCACTTATAAAATACATGCGAAGCGAGCATTTTTGAGATGCGCGTTAGCTCGATGAATCATGCGTTTCTTCGAACGTAAAGGAGGCACGCGAAGAATGTTGTCGAAGGCGATCGCATGTGTCGATTGATCCTCGAGGATCGGGATCGTCGAGGCCGCGCTGCGCATCCGCACTTATTTTTATTTAATAAAGAATATAACATTCCAACACACATGGTGGAGTGTCGATGTCTACGCGTCATGTGTATATAATTACAAAATAACGATTAAAATATATGTTACCGTTGCATTTCCACCAAATACGAGAAAGAATTTTTTCAACATTTCTTGCGCCTTCTTCCATCTCTCATGATTTTTTAATTTCTAGATATCTATTTGATAAGTCCGTCTAACAATATACGTTACTATTATCGATTGTATCCGGTTCGCTGAATCATTGCTTCTTGAAATAAATTTCAATCGCGCGATTGTCGTTACATTGAGACTCGATAAGTTTACTTGGAAAGAACTTATTTGTTATATTTCTTTTATCAAGATCTTATAATAATTTATAAAAAATTTATAAAGAAGAAACTTTTGGATGCAACTTTTTATCTTCGAAATAAAATATTTTACGATGCACTAGATACAATTCTCCTCATTTTTCAAAAAATAAAAAAGAAGAAAGTAACAAATCAGGTTTCGCAGTTGCTTTTTAAATAGCATACAGCAATTTTAATGTTGATACTCTGCGACTAGAGTGTAATAATCTTCTCTTTTTACGCAGAGATATAAAAAATTTACAAAGTGTGTAAAAAGTTGAGATTTTGCAATGATGATTGTTTGCGTACGGTAAACATTAATGTCGCATGCGCCAAGTAATTACGAAACATACTTCATCTCGGAAGTTGCGTTATCATTTATCGTACGTGCGATTATCGATACGACATTAGAGTTTATCGCGAACACGAGATCGCGTTATCGCGAAAACCTTCCATTTTTAAACGCGATTATTACGCGGAATGTACACACGTCAGTTCCCGACTGACATTCCAGCGCAAGAGCTCCACAAGCCGTGCAACCACGTAAACCGGCCAGCCGCTGTGTCAGCAGGCGAACGGCGCAGCGGAGCGACGTCGGCGCGTCGCGCCGCGTCGAACCTCTCGGCGGCGTCGGGACACGATCGTCTCGGCGGTGTCGGCATCGAGCGACGGTGTACTGTACTATCGGCATTGGCTTCGCGGCGCACGGTCACCGCGAGACGAAGAGGGAGACACGCACACTTACGGGGGTGCGAGCAGGAAGCGAGGAGAAAGAGAAAGAGAGGGAGAATGAGACAGAGACGCAGGTACGAGGGCCACACACGGAAGGTTCGCCGCGAGAGCGAGACAAAAGGCGGGAGAGAGTGAGAGAGAGAGAGAGAGAGGAGGAGAGATAGCCG